CCGTCGCTGGATAAACAGGGCATTCTTAGAGTCAACGGACGCTTGGCGACCGCTCCGCTTTCGTACAACGAAAGGTACCCAATTATTTTACCTGAGTCATCAAGATTTTGCTACTTATTTCTCCAGTTTGTGCAGACTTTGCTATTGCATGCAGAACATCAACTCATGATACGAATGGCAAAACAGGAATTATTCATCCCGAGACTTAAGTCCAAAGTCAAACAAATCATTTTCAGTTGCAAAATCTGTACCATTTCTAAACAAAAAAATGCGAACAAAAATCATGGCAGCATTACCGCCAGAGAGATCTACTTATTCTTTGCCATTTACTCGAACAGGAATCGATTTTGCAGGTCCTTTCGACATCAAATCAGCGAACACTCGTAAGGCACCTTATATCAAGGGTTACATCTGCGTATTCGTCTGCTTTTCTACAAAAGCAATGCATTTGGAGCTCTGCTCCGATCTTTCGACCAAGGCATTCCAGGCGGCTTTCGCGCGATTTGTCGGTCGACGGGGCCTACCTCAACTCATCTTTTCAGACAACGGAAAGAACTTCGTAGAAGCAAGTCGAGCCTTCCAAAAGGATTTCAAACAATTTCTAAAGGAAGCGCCGAATGACATTCGTTCGAAGTATTCCATTCACGGGTTTGAATGGCACTTTATTCCTCCAAACGCACCTCATATGGGCGGCTTATGGGAAGCTGCGGTGAAAAGTGTAAAGTTACATCTGAAAAGAATAGCTGGCAATATGCACTTCACCTTTGAGGAATTCACCACCCTACTCGCCCGCATCGAAGCCGTACTTAACTCTCGGCCTTTATCACCTATGTCAGATAATCCACAAGACCTAGTGGCGCTGACCCCCGGCCATTTTTTACGAGGTGCACCACTTCTCGCTATCCCAGAACCGGAAGCCGAAAACATCTCCCTTCAGAACCGCTGGGAAAAATTGAAATTGCTCCACCAGCACTTTAGTGTGCGGTGGAAGGAAGAGTACCTGAAAGAACTACACAAACGATACAAGTGGAAATATCCACAAAAAGACCTTACCGTTAATGATTTTGTCGTCATTAAAAACGAATTAACACCACCCAACGAATGGCGTCTAGGAAGAATTGTATCGGTCTACCTTGGCCCGGACGATAAAGTGCGTGTTGCAGACGTTCAAACGCAACACGGCCTGTTCACCAGACCAACCGTAAAATTCTGTCCTCTACCCATTCAGTCAGATGTCCCTAAGACACCACCCGGACAGCAACTTTCAATATCTGAACTTTGTTCTCTCCTAGCCATAAGTTTTCAAAAACCCAATACTAAAGCAAGTCTATTTTACAGAAGCAAAACCAGTTCTGCATCTGCGCTTGGTCCCAGGCACCAAAAACACCGCACAGCAGCGTCGCTACTCAACCACACCGTCGTCGCGTAGACGTGAACAAGCTCTTCATCTTCGGCTAGCCCCAAGGAAAAAGGGTGCTACACGACGACGTCGCGATTCAATCACGCCTTCACCAAGTCCACGCGAATCACTTGAGCATCAGCGCGTACCTTCATGCAAGAATAACAATAGACAACGACCTCGAAAGTTAACTCCGATTCCACTTCTTCGGCGTGCACCAGCTGGACATCCATATGAAGCAGCATGCAACAAAGTCCTTGCACCACAGCATCGTGATCGAATCGTACATCTGTGCTTATTCTGCCACCGGTATCACGCACTCAGATTTTGCAAGTTTTTCTTGGAGCTGACTGTAGAAGATCGCATCCGTTGCGTACGTAAATTCAAATACTGCTCGAATTGTCTAGCTAGAACACATCGGAAGACACAGTGCACATCACGTGACAACTGCAAAACCTGTGACCGACCACACCACTCGTTACTACATCGTCCACTACCTGGCGAGCGTACCACGGCCAATCTGCCTACGAATACAACCCGCCGGGCCGTAGAAGAAGCCATCAAGGCATTGGAACGAGTACAGGAATCCCTTGCACCAGTGCAACAGGGGCGCCATGTTTAAGCGACTTACGCACTTAAAATACACTTCTGCTAAAGAGAACGCAGCCACCCTCTTTCGAACTTACGGCAGTTCGATGTGGCCATGCGACTGCTATAAATAGGGGCACCTTATTGGTTCTCCTCCCTTCTTCTGTTCTTCTCCTTTTTCGACCATACGGATTGGACCATCATCGAGAAAGTATCATTTTAACCAACTACATCAACCGAAGGAATTTATCAACTTCATCAACTTGGAGTATTTTCCATATATATCATTTACTTTGCTAAGTATCAGTTTGAATTATACATCTACATTTCAATTACTGTTTGGAACATCTTTGTGTTATATTTATATTGAATTCTCATGCGCATTTGCATTATTATACAAATACTTGAGTGCTTCACATCGATTACCCTTACACGTCTAGATCCGTACCTACACGTACCTCTAACAGATTTGAGAAGCAGAGGCCACTTATTCCAGGCCTCAGCAATTTCCCTTCTCAATATCGTACATAGGCGTTTACCTCCGTAAACCCTCCAACAATAATCGTAATTTAAATTTTTTAATAAAATCAATTGGTGGTAGTTCATGAATGTGTGTGGATTAATAGCACCACACCGAGGATTTGGCAATAACCGTTTTCATCTATAAAAAAACAAAACTTACGGGCAATGTTTATTGTCAGAAAAACATTTTTTTCTAAGAATCGACATACTTTAAGCATTGTTGACGCTATTTCCATTTGAATGAGGAAATAGCGTCAATGACTTAATTTCCAAATTTTTGTTGACTTTATTTCGCACCAGGGTGGGAAATAAAGTCAATTGACCTTATTTCCGTTGATCTTGTTACCTGTCACCGTATCAATTTTGAGTAAATTAGCGTCCTTAAATTTCGAAATATTGAAGTTTCAAGCATTTCTGAAATTTACCGTTATATGAAAAGCGGCCTCAATTTTAATCCGATTTCAATAATTTTCGACGTTTTGCTTTTATGTGGCAAGCACCATAACCGTACCGAGTTTGGTAAAAATCGGTAGAACGGTTACCGAGATATATATATGTGATCATGAGTGGGCGGTGCCAAGCCCATTTTCCAAAATTTTATCGTAAACGTATTTCTTGATAAAGAATTGTTGCAAGCATCAATTTTGCATAAATTAGCTTTAATATTTACTGATTTATCGAAGATTTCGTATGTCTCCAAATTACCGTTATATGGGATGTGGGCTTGGTTATTGTCCGATTTTAAAAATTTCAGCCATTTGGTATGCTGTAGCAAGGCTAACAACTGTGCCATGTTTGGAAGAAATTGGTGAACCGGTTTCCAAGATATACACATGTAACGATAAGTGGGCGTGGCTACGCCCATTTTCCAAAAATTTATAATATTCTTATTTTTCGTCTAAAAATTATTGTAAATATTAATTTTGAGTGAATAATCTTCAGTAGTTACTAAAATGTCGCAGTTTTCGTATTTCTGAAAATTACCGTTATATTTGAGGTAGGCGTGGATATTGTCCGATTTTGCGTACCATCCGTCCTACGCACGAAAGAAGTGCACTTACAAAGTTTCGTTAAGATATCTCAATTTTTACTCGAGTTATCGTGTGTATCGATTTCTCTTTTCATTCTTATCATTTCTGTATACATTTGTCTATATCTATCTCGATTCGTTTTGCCTGTTTCAAACAACCGTTATGTGAACAAAGTTATAATGCCCTTGTGCACAAGTGCGCTCGGGTATAAAAACATTGCACAATCGGACAACAAAACGCAATAATAACTGAAGGGCCATCAAATCATAATTTTACATATCTGGACTAATGTTTTCCATAAGAACACTTTTTAAATGTTTAAACTTTTCAAACCACAAAAACTTAAAATTTAGTAGTATTTCCTCTAAATTCTTCTAAGACTATGTGAGTTTCAGTCAGCCTCAAATGAAAAAAGTATTGCCATCAGGATTTAATTTGAATAAGTGTTTTACTAATTGGGATATTTAGATTTAGGAAATAGGTTAAATTTTAAAATACAGCACCAAAAATAAAATTGGACTTATGCCAAATATATGAACATTTTTCCCATAGTGCTCATACAAGTCTTCCTAGCTTTAAATGACATATTTTCTTCAAAAACGGTATTTTTTTTTTAATATTGGCGGCGAATTCTGCAATTGAGTTTGACTTCCGTTCCGCAAAAGTGCCGCGCTTGAACCTTATCTGTGCATAAATGGAGCAAACCAGATAATTGGCTACCGTGCAGGTAAACTATGTATACCAACCCCCTTCTGCTCCATTTATTGAGTTTTGGGAGTGGTCGGTATTGTGCACTTCGAGCATTTCGCACGTTTAATAATATAAAGATGTAATTCAAAATTTACTTTTTTGGAGATTTCATCTTAAGCTTCATAAAGAGATTATGCTTGGCCTAACATTTGATTGCCGCAGCAGAGTGATTACAGGTGCGCACTTCCACTCGGTGGCACCAAGATAAGATCCATGGTCACAGCCTAACCCAAAATAGCAGTCGCACTTCAGCAGGCAATGACAAAACTTAGAGTGTATTTCTGACTTGAAAAAGCTTCTCATAAAACCATTTGTCGTTCGGAGTGAGCGTAAAAAGTTGATGCCTCCAATTGTGTAACAACAACAGAACTAAGAACAATATTATAACCGTTTCAAAATTTTGATTCACAAAATCACTCAGTGAGGCCAAGTCTAATCAAAATGTAGGGTTGCATGCCCATAAATACAAAATAAAAGTAGTGTTTAAGGCGGGTTTAACGAAAGTTGTTCGTATCGTAAACTCCGAGTTTATAAGTATTGTTTAATGATAAACTCCAAAATGGCTCATAAATTCGAGATTACGGCTCAATGAGAACGTAATAGAAAAGTTATATTTTCTCTTTAAGTAATATCTTGCTTACATTATTGGAATATTTCCTTGTAATTTCAATAAAATTCGGTCGTTTTTATGATGTTTAATTATATTTCAGCTCAACTGCTTTGACGAAAATGAAGAAAATTTGGAACTTCAAAGACATCCGGATAGAGAAAATATTTTTGAACAAAATAACGAAAACGCTTTAGAAACCAATGCAACTTTAAATTATATGCCCACAACAAATTTGGACCAAAACCGCACAACGGATTTGCCAATTCAGCAAGTCGAGAACTTATCACATTATTTATACTCCATTATTTACATGCCTCACTCCTTACGGATGGTCTGCCTGACAAATTTGTTCTGTTGGATGGCCCATGTCTGCTACTCGTTATACTTTACAGACTTTGTGGGTGAAGCAGTTTATATGGGAGATCCTAAAGCTTTTGAAGGCACATTGCTCCAAACAAAATATGAAGAAGGTGTTCGTTTTGGCTGCTGGGGAATGGCAATGTATTCGCTGTCATGCGCATGTTACTCTCTAATAATTGAAAAATTGATACAAAAGTTAAGGTAATTGAGAAATTCCTAAATTTAATTCTTTAAAAACTTTACACACTTCGTACGACTAGTCGTTCAATCGAATATTCGTATTGTATGTATGATTGGAATGGTGGAGTGCAATAAGGCCCGCAGAAATAACGCCCATGGGTTTTATTTCCCAAAAAAATAGAAATAATGCCCATGGCGTTGTTTCCACCCACCAGTAAAAGGCAATAAAGCTCGCGGAAAAGGAAATAAGTCCCGTGAGTAGTATTTTCTCTGGTTTTAGTTTACTGAAACATTCCAATTATGTATACAGGCAATACATTTGTAGTTCTGCGTTAAATTCCCTTCTGCAGTATACGCATAAAATCGAACGGTATTTTTGCCAATAACTGATAAGCGAATTATTGGAATTATTAATGGTAAATTGTTCCTTTTTTCAGCCTTCAATGCGATGCGCACATTTGTTCTCAGCGTCTTAAGTTTTTCAGTGTTGGCGCGCAAACGCGGACGGTCACGTCGCGCGATGGCGCCAAATGGTTATTTTCAATTTCTTCGTATAATAAAGGAAAACAAATATTTAGTTCAATGTTATCATATTAGTTAGTTTTTATTTAGAACAGGGGGTTTTGGATATACATATTCTAAAATGGAGACAAGAGCCACAATAAAGATCAAAAAACGCCCTGGGACTTTATTTTACTTTTTAGGAAATGAAGCCCGCGGGCCTTATTGCCCTATCGAAATGGAAATAATGCCCACCGGTAAAAGGAAATAAAGCCCGCGGGCATAATTTCTTTTCCGAAAAGGCAATAATGCCCGCCGGCCTTATTTCTTTTTTTTTTTGAAATAAAGCCAATGGGTGTTATTTCCGCGGGACTTATTGCACTCTACCTACTGGAGTGCTACTATTTAATTTTTATTGGTGGATTTGTGGTTTATTTTTTGTTTATTTAAGCTGCAGAAATTGAGGTTTAAATAAGAGATGCGCACGTGACTTAATTTTGGAAGTGGATGGTTCATGCATGTGTGAGTAACTTGAGTAGAGATAAAATCATTTGTATGAAATACAGTTTTTAAGCAAGAATACGTCAGATGCATTTTCATATTTATTTAAATACTCTCAAATTCAAACAGATAACCACGCATTATTAATTTTAAATAGCTTTTCTCAAAATAATAGATTTAAGTATTTTATTTTATTTGATGTAGGGACGATGAATAACCGGTTTCTAAGGAAATAACTTACACCCTTTATGAACTATTTTACTTTTGGTTTTGAAGAAATAATCACATTTTAAAAAGTTATTATAAATACAGTAAAGGTAAAAAATGGTGCAGTGAAATACTGCCCGCGAAAATATCGCCCGTGGGCTTTATTTCCTTTTTTAGGAAACAAAGGCCGCGGGCATTATTCCCTATTTGGATTTTCAGTAAAAAGTTAAATACACACTTTCGTCGATTGTCAAACAATTTGACGAGAAATTGGACTCGAATTTAAATTTAGAGTTATTGCAGGAACTTAAAAGCACGTCTGAAGGCTTATTAAAACAAATAGAAGAACGTATTGGGTTTTGGAATTCAGAATAATATGTATGTAGTTATAGTTATGAGAAGATGCAAATTTTTGTATCGTAAAAACGAAAGTCTGAAACGTTTCAACGATGGGTTTTCACCGCGGTTATTTAACATTTCAAATTGACTTTACAGAGTGGTGTGCAGGAAAAATGTTGTCAACAGTATTGTGCAGACAGTATTGTGCAGAAAATATGTTAAAACCTATAGGTATGTATGTAAATTATACTTTTCTAATCTAAATGGTAAAAGTTGATACAAAAGGAGGGAAAAATGGCATTTCTAAAATTTTCTCTGACATCGTGAAAAAGTCGAAATTGGTGGTGTAAAACAAAGCTTAAATTTTTGATTGATTGAGTGATTTATTTTTAAACATAAAAATGCCTGTAAGAAAGTGCAAAGTGCGTGAATGCAACTATACTAATGCATCATTCCGTATGTATTGTTTTCCTCAGGAGTGGGAAATGGCAAGAAAGTGGAGGGAGAACCTCGACATCTTGCCAACAGATAACTTGCCGGCGCCGTCTAATTGTTTCGTATGCTCCATTCATTTTGAAAAGACGCAATGGGGTCAAAAATGTTAAAAAGGAATGCTATTCCTACGTTGAATTTGGGTGAGAATTTAAAGAAGTTTAAATAGTAATAATCGGCGCAATTATGGTTGTCGACATCCACGTCGATGTAATTTTTTCATCAAAAAATAACCCTTTGAGGAAAGGTGGTCCTCGCAAAAGTACTGTGGTCAGCGTAGCTAGAGTTGAACATACGAGGGCTATTTTTTGATGCAGAAATTACATCGACAACCATAATGGCGACAAATATATTTTATAAATTACACCTGTTATATGCATAAAACCGCAAAATACGTCGGAAAAAAATTCATTAAAAATTAACGTGATTTTTTATCCCCTTAAAACTTTCACTTGTTTCACTAGAATTACATAACCGATCTATATCTATCTGCGTACCCAAAATTTTCTAAAAATTTAGATTAAAAAGTGGAAAATTTTTTGAATTTTTCTACGTTCTGTATAACTTTTGAAAGTTTGACTTATGTGGTTTCGATTACAGCATGAACCATATTTTTATAAAAAAATAACAAAAAATGTGTACTTGAAAAACATTGTAAATATTAAACAAAAAAGAACCATGCAATCACTTTTGATTGCCTGTGTATGTACATATGTGTGTCTAACAAATTATGGTTTGTTATCAAAATACCGATATTAATTAATAAACTCTTAATATATAGTACAAATGTATTTATAAACTTAATCTCATTAAAATTATTTCTGCAATCAAATTTTCTATTCATGTAAAAAGCCAAACGCATAAATATGTACGTATGTACACATGCATTTGTAAATACATATGTATGTAGATATGTAATGTATGTATGTATGTAACATATATATGTACACACATACAAATGTACGATTGGTCGGCTTTCGTCTTCCCCTCGCCGCTCCCATCCACACAAATTATTCAATTTCTGGGAATCGACACCAGATTGGCACGTGCGCGAAAGCATTAACCCTACGTTTACGAAATATTTAGATTTTCGCATAAGTTTGAATTTACTAAAGCAATACTCGTACATTTTGTATGGAGAATAATATTAATTAATTTAAAATTCTGCATGTAACTATGTTCTCGTCGATACATGTAACTTGCATAAAGATTAAACATAAAAATTGTGCTTCATCAACAGTTGGAACCAGCTGAAACCAAACAAACTATGTCCGCTAAAATGGGTTAAACACAAACTGCAATTGGCATTTTTTACACGCATACATGCATACATTCATATACACATGTACAGTGGAGTAGCACTAACTTGGACATCGCATTGATTGTACTTTGATGTGTTTGAATTTTTTTATGGTACTGATGATTTGGTTACGGATGAAAAAAATTTAAAATAATCTGTGGGTATATATAAATATATTGTTATAAACTTTTAGAGGTAAAGAAATTTTTAAAACTAAAAAATAAATCAAATAATTTATTTGCATATATGCATATGGTGTTCAAGGCACATTGACCCACCTGTACAAAAATTGTGGCGCGTCGTGGACAAAAATTTTATAATTTCGGACCGAAAAATCAGAAAACGAGCTAAGTTGCCACGTTACATTTGTGACATTCCGATAAAACCAAATATGTTTGTGATTTTAGAAGTTTTGATTTTATTAAAAAAATCTATGTATTTTCCTGCAGAAAACGTACACTTTTATTTAATGTTTATTAAAATTACACCTTAAAATACTAGTTAATGGTTGAAATATTGAAAGGGAACAGACAAATTGAGTGTTTTGTCAAAAATTACCAAAATTCGAGATAACTTATTTTACTGGATATAAAGAAATAATTGCCACTTATCACTTGGCTGGCCGAGATTTCTTCAATTTTACATTTTAGAAATTTTGTGTCGGATTGACAAAGTTGCGCTTGAGGGTGATGAATGTAGTATTTAAGAATGGAATATCTTGACCTTGAGAAATATGCGAATGCGTTATGAATGAAATAGTTATTGTTGTATTTGAGTATACGTGTAATTATGTGCATATGTATGTATGCTGCCGTGATTTGTATACTCTAAAAAGTGCATGTAAAACTACTACTGAAAAGTGTTTATTTTTCAACCAGAATCTATTCAAGTATACGCACAAGATGTTCAAGATTTGATTTTGAGCATGAGTTGTTTAAAATATACACACGAAATGTTTAAAATTACAAACATTTTGAAAGTAAAAATATATTTTTTACAAATAATAAATACTAAGTGCCAGGGGCGCACGCAGGAATATATTTTTGGTGGGAAAGGATTTATACTTCTAAATATATATCGTCAGAAAATACTGAAAATTCGCTCTTTAAAATACATTTATGCAAGTTTTATGTACAGTATGAAATAAATAAATAAACTTTTTAAAGTTTCATAAATTGCATTTTATTTACATAAAATTTACAAAGAACTCAGACATTTTCAACCGGCTTCAAAAAAGGGCAGGTTATCAATTCTTCGGAGTATTTTTACTTCTCTTATTTATTCCACCGCTTAACTTTGCACCGCGTGAACTGATTCCAATAATTATTTTTTTTACCGGAAAGATGGTACCTTAAGGGTCGTCTCGTAATTTGGTTTAGATCCGATCATTAAATCATGAAAAATTAACGGTTAAAGATGCACTCAACTTTCAAAAGTAATACAAAATTTTACAAAAGAATTTTAATATAAATAAATTAAATAATTTCACGAAATTTTTACACTTTTTTACTAATTTTCGTCGATTTCTGGTTTCTCATTTTTTAATAATTCGAATAACGAAAATTTAACTGAAATTGTATTTTTATCACGTAGCTCATTTTGGTGGAACGAATTCAAAGTTAGCAAATTAAATCTTCGAATGCTTATTAAGTACATATTAGTGGTAAACTTTTATAGGCTG